TGTCCCCTTTTTACGGCAATAAACTCGCTTTTTTGAATGGCTCATGCCCGCTTATATTAATCGTGATCTTTTCTATCGCTTTAAAAAGTAGTGAGAGTGAGTAGATAAAAATCGTTAAATGTCTTTCAAAAACTGTGTTATCTCAAGGTTATCTATATCAAGGTTATCCAATGGGTCTTTCATACAAGGTGTCATCTTAAGTATTACGGCCTGAGGTAAATTATCTCGGTAATCCTGATGTACACACTCTACAAATCCTAGATAGTAAAACCTTTGTTATAGTTCGCACTGCGTTAAATTTGAAAAATTTACGAAATAAAAATGAAGCTTTTTAAAAATAACAGTTGCAATGAAGTTTGGGTTCCCATCTAATGAGGTTTCAATACAAGAAAATATCTTGGTATTTTGAAGAATGGAATTCGCTTGTTGTATGTCAGTTCTCGCGAATTGAGTATTGATCTGGAAATCAAGAGTTCTTTGATTTAGGTTTTATAGGAAGATGATTATGCTGAATGCATTTATCACTGGTAGGAATTTGCATAAAATTATCAGTGTCATAGTGTTATAGATCAGTACAAACTGAGCTATCACATAAAAAGAATTTGTAAATAAGATTATGAATATGAACTTCAAATTATCCAAGAATTTTCTATAAAGATCACAATCATTATCAAGACCAGGCTAGCATGGATTCAAGAATAAATAATCCAATATCCAGAACAAGTAGAAGCAACTCCAACACTCGTAAAATCTGCAATAGGCTCTCTCTTTCTCAATCTTTGCTGCCAAGACGTCCTTAATGAATAATCCACTATAATTTAGCTCCATATCCATACACATTTATCCTTGTGAAACTAGTATAAAAAGATAGGTTTTAAATGGTATCTTGAATATCTTCATCTAAAAAATAAATAACAGTTTTAAAAGTATTTTATATTTTTTTATGCTAGTAATTTCGCACATAGAATAGGATCTGTATATTGGTTTATCCACTTGACTGTACAACTTTAATGTCAATTTCGAGATATAAACTTTAATAAATATATTTTATTTACCCATATATATACTCAAAGATCTTGCCTATAAACAAGTCCATAAATATTTGTTCTGTATCTATGATATACCTGCAGTAGATTTGACAGATTTACGAAAATAAAAATAAAATATAGAAATAAAACCGTTGTAAAATGACAATTATAATTAAGTTTGGGGTTCTTTTTTTATGAAAGTATACCGAAGTTTTAGCTTGAGAAAAACATTTTGTATTTATAGGATTTGAATTGTCGTATCTCGGTTCTCATGAATAAAGTATTGATCCGAGAGTCAATGCTTTAATTTGTCGTTGTTTAATTTAGGTTTTGAGGAGGAGCAAATCATGCTGAGATGCTTTTACCATTGATAGAGATTTTGGTAACATTAGTTGGCCGTGTGAGGATGACTATCGTCATATTTTAGTTACTGTGTGAAGAATATCCTTACCTAGAATGATGGGGAAAACTCATTGAATGACGAGCTGTCATAACTAATATCTTTGTCATCATTTATTCTTATTCTGAATGTTTATTATGTAAGGGAAAGCACTTTGATCAGGAGTGTCTTCCTTCACACGACATTCATTGATAAGGTCTTAAATTGTATTTGTAATGCTTTTTGATTTATAAGATTTTATATGTTATGCGAACTCGAATAAATGAGTTGACTATGCATGACATTTGAGTCTTATTGTGGAATAATCGGTATAAGTTATATGGATTCACGGAAAAAAATCATAAAAAAACAATAAAGTCAACTTGATAAAGGTATAGGTTTTATTATCAAATCGACAGGTGTATAAAGCTCCCGTTCATCTACTGGCCAGGTAGATGAACCTTTATAT